TGACGTGGGCCGAACATGGATTGGTGAGACAGAGGGGAATACATGGTACTAGTGAGAGAAATGATTTAAGGAACGACCAAAAAAGAGACTGTGGGCAGAATTTTAGGTTGTGTATCAAATGGTGATGATAAATGTCATTGTGGACTAGAAGCCTAGAAACATTTGATTCGAGAGGTAGACTTGATTTACTATAAGAAAAACCATTAGTCGTGTGCTTTGGACACGTTTTGTCCGTTACGTCCAGACTATGGAGAAATTACAGAGTTTAGTGTGGTGAAACTTGCTCGTATAGATGTTAAACATTGTCGATGTTTTTTTTTTTTTTTTGAGCTTTGTTAACTATTTATTATCTTTAGGTTCGAGTTTGTTCCTAATTAATTTTGTTTTACTCTTTCTTTTAAACTTAGTTTTTAAAGACTAGAATGTTTTCCGTCGATTTAATTTACAGAGTTAGTATTTATAAACACTAGCTTTGTATTCCACATTCTATTTTATCGTCGTTTTTCTAAAATATTTTAGATGACAAAAGCATAAAATAAAATAACATGTTACATATTCAAAACACGTATGAAATGAGCATCTACTTTACCGTGTGTTACTCATCATTTTTTGCATAATAGCGGCACAATCGTACGTCGGTTTAGACGAATGTTTATTTATAGAAAATATAGAAATACACGAAACTATGTGCTTATGTCAGTAGCTACGTTTAACGTTTGGTCTTTTTTGGCGATTTGTTTATTTTATTTCACACTCGTATCAGATAGTTTTGTTTTATTCATTCTGGTACCTACCACCACCGTAACACAACTCTGTTTATTTAATCCACAATATCCGAAGAAAGAGAAAGCAAAGCGCAAAAAAAATTAAGGCAGAGTAAAGAAAAAAAATGAAGAATGATAATAATACCTTGCCGTTGCTTGATCCCCGTGAGTCGCCGGAGCTCGACTTAACCAAACCGGCGTCGAAAGTATGGGCCAAAGAGTTCCGCGAAGAGTCGAGGCGGCTCTGGGAGTTAGCCGGACCGGCTATCTTCACAGCCATAAGCCAATACTCTCTCGGTGCACTCACTCAGACTTTCTCCGGTCGTCTCGGTGAACTCGAGCTCGCCGCCGTCTCTGTCGAGAACTCTGTTATCTCCGGTCTCGCCTTCGGTGTCATGGTGCGTAATCTCATCGCCACGTGTCTTTTTCTGGTTTGATGTTGTGTTTCGATAGTGGCCACGCAAAACAAAATGCAATGATTTAATATTTTTTTTATTTAGTAATAATAGAGTAAGTACACTAAAGGAGATCTTTCCATGCATTTAAAATTATTTCATGATTTTGCAATTAATATAATTGTGAATATTAGTCGCAATGTTGACTAACCCATCATACTATCCGTATTCTCTATGGCTTTCTATGCCTCTGAATATATGTATTTAGGGATTACAAAATATAGAGAG